TTACACTCCTAAAAGTGATTACTGAAATTCTTAAGTGAAACCATTCTGCTGCCAGGGTGTGCTCTAATCCCCTGCAGCGTTGTCTGGGCCGGGGCTGGGGCCGGGGCCTCTCTGTGGATCTGTGCGCCCAGCACTCCTTTTCCCCTTCCCCACTTGTGTTTTCTATCATCAGAGCAGGCCTAAAAAGAGCCCCTACATGGAAACATGGCCTATCCAGTTGCAATATCCACTGCTGGGGCTCGTAGGAAAGAGAGAGAGGGAAAGGTAGTGTCAGGAAACAGAAATATGCACACACTTCAAAGGCTGGGGCAGCAAATTAAGGGTTAGGCATTGGACACGACAGTAAGTGGCCTTTACATCAGAAACAGGGTAAACAATGTCTGGATCGTGTTTCGCTTCTTTCCTCTGTGTTGTTGCATAGACCCCCCGGCTCTGCATCTGCACACTGGCTGTGCTGTAGGTAGAGCACTAAAACAGCTCAATGAAGCTCTTTCTTTTTTACAGTGAACAAATAATTTTCATCAATTGAGCCATGATAAAATGTTTCGTATCTGAGCCACTGATGTGTGTAAACGAGTGGAAAATCTGACACGATTTTACAGAATGAATACATGTAAGAGTATCTAATAGAATAAAGCCTCTATTAAAATTCCACATTTTATGACTGGTAGCTAATCCTCGCCACAATGTTACACTGTATCAAATCAATTACAAGCGCTTGCAAAACAGAGGTGCTGCTCTCAAGCGTGATGCAAACAAGCTTCAGGAGAGAAAACCGTGTCTGCATGTGCATATGTGTGTGTGTGTGTGTGGATGCATAGTTTCTCCTGCAGCAGCATCACAGTTGAAGCCGAACCAGCCAACATGATCTAAACAAGAATTATGTGAAGTCATGCTCTATGAAACTTTATACACATTTGCTGATCATTACCTAAGATTGCTTTGTGTTAACTTTGGCAGGCCCGCTCCTGGCTCTCGGAGTGAAAAAGGGATGATGTATTTCCTCTTATTTATTATTTGCGCTGGGCTACCGAGAGGGAAAAGGGAGGGAAAAAAAAGAAGAGAGTGTGAGCGGTATGCCTGCGACTGGCGCATCGATGCCAGGAATAACAGAGTGAAACTTGCTCCTCAGCCTCATTAGTGTGTAGAAAACAGTTCCCGGGAGACACAACAGAGTGTAAATACATTTGAAACGCTTTACACTGCAGGATGCTACACGCCAACTTCTCCCTATTTCTCCTTTTTTACTTTTCCTCCTTAAAATGAGAATGTAAACGGCATCAAGTGCTGCAAGTGTGTAGGCTTCAAAAGAGTTGCAACCCCATGTTGCACGTCTCATAAATTCTAGTGAGGGAATTCAAAGAGAAATTTATCGAGCATGGCATTCACACATGTTGACAGTAAAGAGGGCCAACTGCACACCAGGTCTTGGGAATTTGTAGGAGCACATGGCCCCTTTCTTTGCTTTGAAACACCCTCTTTGACCCTTTGTCTGCTTATGCAACATCTTTGCCCTTTCCATTAAGACAGAAGATAGGAAAATTTATATGAGACACAAAAGTCCATCGCAGTGCCCTATAAATTAGAAATGTCAGGTACACTGTTGTAAACATGGAGAGATTTATCTATCGATGACCAGACCTTAAGATACGGCATTTTATGGACACTTCTTAAACCATTACCCCCTGAAGCAGGTGCACTGTTATCCCAAATAAGGCAATGTGCTATAACATCATCATTTCCCAACACTTGTTTATAACATGAACACGTCCCTGCCATCTGTTTCCACCCAGCACTGCCTTTTCTTCAGTTGTTTGTACAGTAAGGGAGGTGTTTATGGTCTTTGAATGTTGCCAATTTCACTAGAGAGAGGACTGCAGAGCACCTATGGGACTCGGCATACAGGACCACACTTTTGGCTCCATCGCCTATTGACACAGCTGCTATCATGCTGAAAGGATCCGATTCCAGGGGCGGCGAAAATGTCTGCGCACACTTACCTACGCGCACACAAAAAGCACACGGAGGACACACATGTTTGGCTTTTTCCTTTTAAATGTCATTAAGTTCTGCTCGGACACAGCTTGATATTGACTTTGCTGGAATAAGGGCGCTCTTGCCCTTTCTTGTTGCTTGACTTATGGTGGTTCATTCAGAGGCTGCCTCACAGGATGCTACAAAGTGTATGCTTCCTTGTTATCAGCTGCTGCTGTGATCAACCCTAACAGGTCTTATTTAAATCTCTGCCAGCCATGTACAACATGGACAACCCTGAGCCAGTGAATAGGAGAATGGGATTTTTTAAATCATGTTTTCCTTTTATTTGGACAACTCTGCTTTTCTAGATTTTTTTATGATGTGCAGCGTCATCTGGACACTGTACAGCACCTTGGCAGAGCTGTGCAGGCCCTGAGTGATGGAGAAAAGCTGAGAATGGAGAGTGAGAAAGTAAATAAAAATCTGTATGATAATAAATTGCATCACTGGTAATTGTATCCAGTGCTGCTCTACGGTGCACTGCAGTGCGTAGAACCCCCTTTATATGCGGGGGCCTGAGGAGATCTGCTGATAACATGGGGATTGATGTCAGCCATTAAAGAAGCGTGTGTGCCGGGCTGGAGGGGTGCGTTACATTTGGCCTCCACAACATCACTGTATATCAGCATGTTGTCACCTGGGCTGATGTCACAGCAGGTCCTTCGGCTAAGAAAACACTCTCTCTGTCTTTTGGCGGGTGACCAGTGCAGGCTCACTCACTACCCACTAATGTGCTACTCGTGCCGAGGGGTGCATTGTTTTGGGTTCATGGCCTCACCAAATGCAATCCATAACCAATTAGGCATTGTGCGTGTGTAGCTATAGAGACCTTTCAGCAAAACAAAATGATGCGGTTTAGCATGTGGATGGAAAAAAGTGAAACAAAGACAACCTCAGGAGCAAACATTCCTGCAGTTGGACTGTTTTTATTGATTTTTTTGCAAGAAATTCTGAAGTCGCACGACAACATCAAAACAGAAAACATACAACAGTTTTATTTAGACAATCAGGACATTGTGGAGAGCTCATGGCCTGGCTGTCTCTACCTCAACATGGCGTGAGTAACTTGTGTTTTTTGCACTCAGCCCAGCAACTCTCTCACTGGAACACTTGAGTGCACATTTCATACACTACGCGCCGAGGACCTTGAAACAATCTGACAACCAGTTTCGGTGAAGGTGATTTGTCCCCCGGTGCATCCACCTCTCCCTCTGAACAGGGTCACTCCAGTTTATCTTTACGTGATCTCTTTCTTGCCCTCCCTCCTCCCCTGTTAGGAACATTGTGTTATTCTGGGATGTGTCATTACAGGATCACAGTTCTTTGGATTTACTGTAAAGTCCATTTAATCAAAGGACAATGTTAATTCACAGCACCTGCTGGCTGTGATTCATGGTGAATACGGTAAATAACGGGTTTTTCCTGTCACATTTTTGTTCAGATTCCATCTTTGAAGTACCAGGTGTGAAGCTGCATGCTGCGCTGATACCTGTCATAACACAAAACACATACAAGCTCAACTTAGATGCCTGGTCGATGCCTGACCTCGGGAGATTTTATACTGAGGAACGTCTAGTGTAGCTGGAGAGAGAATATTGAAGGGAACAAAAACTATAAGTCGTTTGCACACTATTTCTAGTGGAGATAATTCTGTGTAAATTAAATAACACTGACTCTTTCACACCAAGCATGAAGACTTTTTGTTGTGCAAATACTTCACAGACATCTAAGGCTTTATTTATGGACCAGATAACATTCGAACTTTTACCTTGAAATGAAATTCATACAATGTCAAGTTACATTCTTCCATTATATAAGCAAATGGAGACAGCATGGTTGCTGTCATCATATAAACTTAAACATTTTCAAGTGTTGCATTAATAATATTTTCAAGTTGGATTGCATTATAATTGTACAAAATACAAGCAGCATTTATGTATGGGTGATGGGCAACGAATGAATTGCTTCAGACAACTCTTCTCAGCGTCCACTACGCACCAGGTCCACTTGTCGAACATCTGAGTGCTTATGACGTAGACATGGACGCTTCCAGTCGCCTGTCTGTCAGCACCACTAAATTTATGCTAAATTTATGCTCTTATGTTTTTTTTGCAAGTCTTAATGGTGCTTTTTGTGGTTGGCTTTGGATGGAGGTGGCGTGCAGCTGCGAGTCACTCATCGGGATGAGGAAATCAAATCAAATCAACTCACCAGTTTGTCAACTCTCCTCCTGCTACTTCTGCTAACCAGGTCGATGTTTTCAAATGTAAACATCAGTAAACATAAAGGAAAAGATGGAGAAGAATAGGCACCAGCTGAAGTATAGCATCCTGCTATCCACTTTACAGATATTGGAAAATAAACTGGATGACCTCCATGCCACATCAGTTTCCAACGGATCCACAGCACCATTAAACCAGGAGACTCTTTTTCTTTATGCCAATCTGGCAGGGCAGAGAACTCTGATGAATTAGGACTGGTGTGACATTGGGAATGTGAGGTGTTGTCCCATTCCTGCTGTGGATCACTGCTGTATAAAGCATGGATTACTAGAACCATCCGGAAGCATAGACAATTACAAAGCAGCAGCCAACAATGTATAGAGCTGCAAAAAATGACTAAATTACAGTGAACAAGTTAAAGGAGCTGATGGGATCACATTTCACTGGATTTGTATCATTCATTGAATAAGTTGCCAACTTCAAGTACTTTGAATAATTCCATGTGACAAATAAATGATTGATTGATCACTGTTATCACAGGGTAATGCTCATGTGGCCTGCTACGGTAAGTGAACTAGGACTAATTCAATCAGACTCAAGTCAAGACCTGAGCCAGCTAAGGCCAATGGTGCATTCACATGCTCCTTGGATGGTTGTATTCACATTGTTTGTAAACTTTAAATGGTAACGTGGAAGCAACATAGATGCTACAAAAAAAAAGATGAGTGATACTTAATTGCCCAGTTTTTAACACATTCTTTATAAAGAGCAAAGCAGCCCTTTAAACAACAAAAGACTGTTGGTCAGTGACATTTCTGCAACAACATATAAAGATTACACAGCCTACCTGCATACAAGTGGGATGTGAAATCAGTCCATTAAAATTAATATTTTACTGTGTGTACTGTAACAGTGTACAGATAAACTGACAGCATATTTTGCAAAAACTATCAAAACTCTAAATGGTCCACCCATCTCTGTGTATCCACTAAATACCACCTTAAAAATGCAATAAAATGCCGACTGAAAACAAGAAATGCAAATGTTATAATTAGGAGAGAATGAAGTCAGGACAGAAAAAAGCCTCTATTCAAACATATTATTGTTGTTATTTATTTACGTCATATATTTTACTGTTTGTTTTTACATTTTTGAAAATGATTGTTGTTCAGCAAATCCAAAGCTTTATCTTTACAGCACATCCCTTTAACAAAGGACAGCTAGCGTGCAATGTAAGTGCATTAACAAATCCGTGATAACTGTAGTAACAGAAATCGAAAAATCACACAAACATATTGCCAAGCACGTGTCAGTATGTCTCTGAAAATATCAAGATAATGAAAAAAGTATCTTTAAGATTCAAGTAAATCAAACCATTAAAAATATTCTATATGATGAGAGTATAGGCAGGCGGTCTAAGGAAATGTTTAAAATCTTAATTATGTGGCATGCTGAGCTAAGAAGGCTCTTATTCTGTGGAGGAGCTCTTTCTTGACGCTGTCCGGCACCAACGCTGCAAGAGAGAGAGACATATCCATGACTATGGCTTATTCTTTCACACAGATGAAATGTTACTGCATAACTTGTGTCCATGCTCACACCCACATTCATTTACTGAAAACAAAACATTTCCTGTTGAGGCTGGTGTCAGTGAAGTTACTGGCAGCTCTCTGTCATCTATGATGGATGCAAAATGGTTGCTAATACCTAAGTCTGTCTGTTTTTAACTCAACTGTACACTAAATAAAATGCAATGGAAGTATATTACTGACATTACAATGTTGTCTTTTAGGGTAATGTGAAGTCTTTAATGTGGATTTGTTGAAGTCAGTGTAGGCAGCAGGAAAAATAAGAACAGCGCAGCCATAAAAGCTGCACAAAATCAAATTAGCGACAGTTTTGTACTGCGTGTTTTTTAGGTGAAGATACCTCTTCCTTTAGGAGTGATCTCTACCACCAGGTCCTCCACAGTCACATGCTCCAAGCCTTTTTCTTTAATTACTTCTGGAAAAAGATAAAAAAAAAAGAAGATATTTAACAAAAAACAAATAAATGCTCGAAGCAGCTTGTGCAGCAAAACCCTTGCACTTAAGCTCCAACAGTCAAATACATATGTACTTTGTTATGTCCTAAATTATGTCCATTCTGAAAGCTCTTGATGTTTTACTGCAATTTGGAGCAATTTAATCATTTTTGTGTTTTATTTGTGGTTACAGCTGGAGAGTTCTGTATTAAAACTTGAAATTGTGATCATCATGAAAACACGAGTAAAGCCTCACAATGGGAAAAAACAAGAAAAAAAAAACAAGTTAGAACCTGCTGTTACTGTCTGTAATATTGTCAAAATAAGGTCAGTAGTATTTTCTGGTCCTGTGTAAGGTTTGCGTATGTTTGTAGAATTTGTAAATAGCTGTGTTTTGTGTGGTATGGTAAAAATGACAGTTTTAAGTTAAGCTCTCTAAATATGTCCGAGGACAGTGATTTTTACCTTTGCAGTGAGCTTTCATCTGGTCCTTCCATCCACACTCAGTGAGCTTTGCCCTCAGTAACTCCTTCAGTCTGTCAATAAGATGCAAACACATGTATATTTGGGTTTCATAAGACAGGTTTCTGTCTTATGCAAACTTGGTTCATAATAACAGCTGACAATCTCTTCATCTTTATTACAACACTGCTTATTTTGGCCCTGATATGCCATTCTCTCTGTTGTGTTGACATTAATCTACATCAGTGTTTTTTTAAACTTTGTGTGACCAAGGCAAGCCAAAATCTCAAGGCATACCTGTATTTCTATCTGTGCACAAAACCCTTTTATAATGTGTGTTGTAACTCTAATCACAATACAAATGTTTGTTATTTACTACTATCAAGTAACAGCTGACAACAAACCATTACTCGTGAAATTTTTATTAAGAAAATGATTCAAGAATTCACTTTTAACTTTCAAATCACCAATAACACATAAATTTAAACAGGAAATAATGTAAGATAATGAGATGTGTCACACACGTGACAAATAGGTTCCCCGTGAAGGTTTTTTAAATTAAATCAAATTACAATTTTCAAGGTAGAGTTTGCCTCTTTATCAGGAAATGGGTGAGCACAACATACTGATACAGTCAATTAAAAATGAATTCATATTTTTTTATATAGGCCCAGTTATATTGGCCCAGAATATTGCATTAACTATGTGTGGTTATCACAAAATCTCATGGCACACCATTTGTGAACAAATGATCTATGCACTATTCAAATAATGCAGAGTGATGCTTCTCTGCTTGCCAGAAAAATGATGGTGTGATGGAGCGGCTGTGTGTCTCAAGGTGCCACATTGGCTCAGTATTCATGACATTATCAGTATTAGTGAATACTTGTGAATTAAGTTATTTTTTCTCAGCCTACAGCTGCTGCTAGGGGCAGCAAAACATCCTTCCAATTTTTTTTTTTTTTAAGATATGTTTTTGGGCATTTTTGCCTTTAATGGACAGGACAGCCAAGTGTGAAAGGGGGACAGAGAGAGGGGATGACATGCAGCAAAGGGCCACAGGCTGGACTCGAACCCGGGCCGCTGCGGCAACAGCCTTGTACATGGGGCACCTGCTCTATCCACTAAGCCACCGACGCCCCACATCCTTTCAATTTTATAGTAATAGTTTACAGTACTAATACATGTAAGACTCGTCTTGGTATGAACAGTGGTTAGAATACCAGCCACAACTCAGCCCTGAGCAAGAGTGACGTTCTCTATTGACCAATCAACACACTGCAGTGTTCACGGCTCCACCTTTTAGTACCAGATCTGTGTGCAAGGTACCCCAACAGGGGGGGTGAGCAAAATGGGGACAGTACAGAGCAGCTCCATTGGTACCATCCACAACTTTTCACAGTAGAAACAGAAAAAAATGCAACTAAACTGAACTGAACCGTACAGTACTGCTTGGTTGAAACAGGGCTTTAGTTCCTCACCTGCTGAACATATAACAGGCATGCTTCTGCCCTGTAAGAGCTGACAAACTCTCAGTCTTAACTAATATGTAGAGATTATCACACATACAGTGGCATATCTCACATGGATATGGCCAAGTGACAGAGCAGAATGTAACACATCTTCCTTACACTTTACTGCACCTATAGACACTCTACCAAGCAAAAAGCCAAGTTACTTCCTCACGTTTACCCTTTAAAATAAATAACGTGATTGTTAGTAACCCTTAACCCCACTACAGAGCTGAGTTATTATAACGCAGCACAGCTTAAACCAACACTGGTGTTGTTGTATCTCACCTCTCTCGCTCCCCCATCTCAGTCAGCTTTTGGTTAACGGTTGCCTTCATCCTGGACTCTTTACTCATAGTCTTTCACCTACAAGGATACAATAAACAGAGTATTAAAGCCTCCAGTGTGAAGTCAAGCTGGCGCTGCAAAGTATAACACGTTCATGTAACGTTAGCAGGTGTTCCTGCGGTGACGTTACTAGCTACGTTACAACTTATACCGCTGTAAACAATAAGTCAGCAGTTAGCTAGGTAACTTCCTTAATGAATATTTACTCACACGCTAGAGAGGGGCAAACGAAAGAAGTCTACCTCGCCAGACTGTGTGGCGTATATGACAAAGTTATGAGTAAATAACGTTAGCTGACGCTGAAAACAGCAGCGACATTAACGACAACCATCTCAAAAACACACAACCGCTATGAGCTCAGCTACAGGCCGGCGGTTACTTAACGGTTAAAGGTAATTTAGCTTCAAAGTCACATTTGATGTGTCGCTTAAAAAGACAGGATTTTGATTTCACAGCTTTTTCCATCAGATATAACATTCCGAGCGGAAACACAGATTTGTGCATTGGTTCCTACGCCTTCGTTATATGCAATACTCTGTTCCACCACAGAGAGGCAGTGTTGGTTAATACATTATATTAAAGTCAGTTCTGGAGCAGACTTTGACCTCTCACCTCCCCTCAGGGGATCATACAGTTTTTTAAAAGCCCTATTTCACATCAACACATTGGCCATCCCTCCTGCTGGTATTAACTGCATCTTATATGTGTTAAGTAGCAACCCCAGTGTGTTTGTTCCATTCTTAATTTTGATGGGTTGTTTTGTTGTTCAAGAACGTATTAAATTGATACATTTACTATATTGTACATGTAATTATAAATGTGTTCTGCCTGAAGCAAACACACTCAGCAATAGTGGGTTTTGTTTGTATGTGGTTGAATGAAGTGCCACTTACTTTGTCTCCAAATGCAGTGTATCACAGTACCACTTATGGGAGCTGGGTTCTTAGACCAGCTGGAAAATGTTGGATGCCAAATAAAAGATTAAAACCCTTTACTCCTCTTGAGAATCCCATCATGAACATAATGGTGTGTAATGGCATTACCCATGAGAAAGTGTGTGTGCATGTGTATTTGTGTTCATGTGTTATCCATGTCTGACAGAATGAGGCTATTCATTGGTGAATCTGAGGAGCCTTAAAATGTTTATAGTATAAGTGGCATCTCAAGCATTTACTTTCTTCTAAAATCACTAAATGATACTTTATTTCTAAGTGATGATGCTGATGTTAAAGCAAACATGAGTATCTGAGTAGGCTATTATATCTAAATAGCAGGGATGAGGATAAAGCAAGTAAATGGGAAAAACAATGATTAATTGAAGTTTAAGGGCACAGATAGATTTACAAGAGACATGGCCATTACGTGGAGGAAAGTTACCAGTTATTCTCACATCCAGTAAGATTTTGCTACACAGAAACCTACATCTGATCATGAATCATAAACAAAAATCAAAACATGAACTATGACTGTTTTGTTGGACAGGTCTTACAAAGGCTGCAAAGAAAATTCAAGCAGCTTGAAGTTCTGTTGACTGTAAATAGCAAAGGCTGGTGTATGCTGCTTCTAAACAAAGCTGACAAGTCGCCTTCAATTCCCCAAAGTCACACCAATAATCTAAATTGATGTGAGGCGCGTATAATAACTAGGTTGGAGGTTTTCCTTTCGGGTATAATCAACACCTGGATCACAACAACATCGAGCTGTCAGCTGCAGAAACGTCAAGCTGGCCAAAATAGCAAACATGACTTCTGGAATTTTTTTTTTTTAAATAAAATCCAAATGAGCAAATAATGACAAGTGTCAAAGTGGAAATGATTGATATATTTAATAGGTTTCTGTAGCAAACAGAGGGAAACTGGATGCAGCAGGTTATGTGATGTTGGTTCAGTGATGTCAGAGCTGACATCAGCCAGTTGTTTTGATGCACAGCAGCCCAGAGGAGAAGGAACTCAGTCATGGGTATTTGTTTTTCATTCATGCTGTCCTAACTGTCTATGCTGATCGTGTCTTTTCCAGTGAACCATAGTGCCTATATTCATATTTAAAAACTGAGTCGGTGCAAGTAGTGTAAAAGTAAGGGCCTCATTCTATCTGCATTGTTTGTCTAAGCTATGTAAACACCATGCAGCACTAGAAATTCACTGTTCCAACCATGAAGATTGTAATGGCAGGCGTCATGCTCCTGTGGAGGTGCTTTAGACCCTGGAGGGCTTTACATGAACGACAATGGTAACATTAAAAACCTGCTGGAGTCCAGAAGAGAACTGCAACCTTGATTTTGTTTTGCAGCTTAACAGTGATGCAAAACACAACAAAGGCTGCACAGGAAATGGCAAAACAACAAGGGTCCTATCCTGGAGAGTTCAGATGCTGGACGAGTTGAAAACTGCTGTTGATTCACAAATCTCAGAGCTGACGGCAGAAAACCAAGATGAATACCTAGTTTGTTCCTTCTGGATGCGAGTAGTGGTGATATGTACCTGGGTGATGCATGCGACATAGCACCACCCAGGTACATATCACCCAGGTACATGGGTGGTGATGCATGCGACATAGCACCTCTTTATAGGTCTGTACACCCAGGTAACATTTGTGTTTTTATCCTGTCATGATTATTACCTCCGCCAAGGAGGTTATGTTTTCGCTGGCGTTTGTCTGTTTGTTTGTTTGTTTGTTTGTCTGCAAAATAACTCAAAAAGTTCTAAACGGATTTTGATGAAATTTTCAGGAAAGGTTGATAATGGGACAAGGAAGAGATGATAAAATTTTGGTGGTGATCGGTTGAAGCAAAGTAGATAAAATAATAAAATGGTGGGAAATCCGAGCTGCTCGGCAGAGGTCTGCGCTCTCCGAGTGCTTTTCTAGTTGAAGATATACTATACAGGATTTCCTTAAAAAACAATGAATATACTCATACACTGCCACCAGGAGTGTGTGGCAGTGTATTTTCTCTGCCCGTAGTTTCTTATTTTCTCCTTATTTTCTGTGTTCGTTTATGGCCGTGTGCCCCCTACAGCACTCAGGTGAGCTTGAGGCTTTATAAAAAGGTAGCAACCAGCTGCCAGACCATAAGCAGCAGGCATCCAAGAGGCACAGCACCAAAAAAAACAATGCAAATTTAGTAAAACAAAGGTGAAATTGGGGTTGGTTTTTACTTCCTCTTCACTGGCGAGCCATGATCACCTGAAAATTCTGCATAGTATACCTTTAAAGAAGGTTGTATCTTCAGGTCAGCATTGTTGTTTGAGCCCCACAACTGCCGCCAACAACCTTTAGCTTTCTGTCTCATATTTTATTAGTTAGAAATAGTCTTCTCACTTCAGCTGAACCTTTTTTCAACTGGTTTTGCGGCACAGAATTGTGTTTATTCAGGCAGTGTGGTCCTAAACAGTGTTTATGTAGTTTTATCCTGAACTGGATGAAACAATTTGATCCGGAAAGGAAGTGACCTACTTCATATATTAAAGGCTGAACTGAGGTCAGTCAGGAGCAGTGCAATAACATCACAACTTTATGAGCAGCAGTGTCCTGACTGGGCCTGGATTTTCTCCGAGTTCATTCCTTGTACACGCACACAAACTTTCAGAGGAGCAGCGCAATAGAGTGTGTGTGGGTTTGGCTGTGATCTGCACGCTGAGTGACCTCTTGGAGCTGACATTTGAATGTCAGCACTGTCAGTCACCAGTGAGGGGAGCTCTAATGCAAAAGGTGCTGACTGAGTAAAGGACACTGAAGATTCTGCACACTGAGTTTGACAATACAGCGTTAAACATTTGTACACATATGTAATGGACACGTCTATGTGAGACAGCAATGCCCCAAAACCTTTGGATTCATTTCTATCAAGTGATATTTGGAAAAATGTGATTCTGCTAAAGGTGAAAGAGAGTCTATTAGCTCCCAGAGCATGATTTAAGCCTTCTTGAAATCACATGCCATCATTGTATCACTGATTTCGGGTAACAAATGCATCATTCAGACTTGCCTTGTTTTGTATTATTCAGCATTGTGGGAATCCTGAACTACACTTTTAACTGTCTGGCAAAGAAATGCTGAGACATCTTTGTCTTTCATCTGTTGTCTTTTCATCTGTTAAATGTATGCCTCCAGCTGTCTTTTTCAAGTGAACTGTGAACATGTACGGGTACTGTCTTTAATATGGCGCCAAAGGGCAAAGCATCACACATTAACGTGTATCATTTAACTTTCATCATCATTTGCAAGCAATCTCTCCCTTTTCCCTTAGCAGTTATATTTTTTCGACCTCAAAACCCTCTGCTTGTCAAGTCCTCTTGAGTCCTGCCTCACTTCTTTGAGGTTATCGGAATATTCCCCGCTGTCTAGGCAGGGCTGAGTGTCTCAGATCACAAATGGGTTTCGCTTTATTGATGTGAAAGACAGTAAAAGCCTGCAGATGCAGCTCAAGAGAACAGATATAAAAGAGTACTTTTGGGATGATACACAATATAAAAGCCAGATGTTTTGTGCAGGTAATTGAGGAAAGCCTGTTAAATATTAATGTGAAAAAAAGTAAAATTCCCTTAATAAGATAGGGAATTTGGAGTTCATGAATTTATATACATAAGTCAGAACTTTATTGAGTCTGAACAAGCTTTTAAAACCCTCAAATTTACAAGGCCAAGACTTTTTGCCTTATTATGAAATACGCTGTGACACAGCTACTCTGTTCTGCTCAGTTGCTCTGTTTAATTAATGACTTTACTGACGTCTGGTCGCCTGCATACATTTAATTGCTTCTTTTTCATTTACTTTCCCAAAAATCCAGTGGGTTCACATTAATACACTGCAGGACAGTCGGTCTGAAAAGTCCAGGGGAGAAAAAAAAGATGATTTCATATGTAATGCATGAGTCTGACTTTAAATTTCATGCCCAAATAGAAGAATCTACCTTTTGAAGTCTGGCCAAGAATTACTCCCTGTCTGTCTTGAGAGTGGAATTTAGTATCACGTCCTCTCATGTTCAAGTGGGAAATGCCTCCCCGTGCATCACCTCATGACAGACTGATTGATGCCCTACCTGCTCTGTGCAGAGTAACGGCTGTCTGTGCGAGTGCAGGTCTACACGACACAGAGAGTACCTGTCTGCGAGTGTGGAGCCTCGGTTAATTACCTGCCTCTCTGCTGACAGTCAGCCAGCACGATGAGGAGAGAGTGAGAAGCTCAAGAGGGAGTTTATTGCTTTCTGGTGGTCATTTCTACAGCTCAGACAGAATCTGAGGTGTTTATACCTCTATTTAGTTTAGTGGACATGCTCAAGCAGATGTGCCTTTGGGGTGAAAGGGGAGTGTCTCAGTGCAATAAGGTGTATAAAGAATTTTTTCAAACCCCCCTTATCTGCTCTCCCTCCCCCTCTACAATCGACAGTCCCAGCCTATTACCACAGTTATCTCAGCTGAAGCAGCCCGAGGCAGCTGGACAGCTAGAAGACATGTGCAGCACTCCTAGCAAAGAAACAATCCACA